AAAGAAAACAAGAAAGAAGGATGTTAAAACTTTAATTATAGGGATTATATTTCATTCCTTTCAGTATTTATTATGATTATTATGGGTGTTGTGATTGTTTTATGTTATTTATTCTATCTAATAATAATAATTATTATTATTTTAATAAAATATTATCATTAAAAGAAAGAAAAAAGAACTTCTAAGCAATGATAGATAGTGATTGGTAGTGGAATCTAGTTTGATATGTGTTTCGTCCTATTTATGTTACTCATCAGATGAATGTATCTGCACTTTAAGATTCGAATTTTATACCGTTCGCTTCAAATACCATCGTGTTCTCTACGTAACTATTGAGTTTTGATAGTCGCTTGTTTGTGCGATGAGGTGAACTTTACATTTATTTGATGTTGTTTTATTTGTATCTTTTGATTGTTATTTAGGACTTCAATGGATCAGTCTCATATTGGTATATGTGGCCGGAGTGAATATCAACTCTAGTATGTAGGTATATCCATCTGACTAGTTTAAAATAGGACGAAACGCGAGTTCCACTAGATTCCACTGCTAGTTACTATGCATCCATCTTTACTTATAAAGCTTGTTACTTAAAGCCATATCGAGGTAATGCGTACAGGATACACATATGCCAACATGAAACGGATCAATTGTAGTTCTAAACAACAATGAGAAGGTATAAATGAAACAACACCCGGTGAATTTGATTGTACAATAAGCTTTATCAATAGTTTGTTTCATCTATTTCAATGAAGTATTTGATAAATACATTTTGTTGAATTGTTTCTATTAGAAAATAATGTCTAATTCTAATATTTGTTAAAACATATTTAACTGTTTATGAAAATTGTAGTTTATTACATAAAGTATACTATACTATAGTTTTAAATAATTAATGTGTTGGGGTGATCCGGAAAATGTCTTGTAAAAGACAAGCAAAGATCAGGAAACACTAAGAAGCGTTTCATCCAATCATCGTTCACTTGAAGTTCTAGCCAAAAATATCAAGGAAGTGAAACGTCACATGTAAAGATTCTGACTGGCGGATTGCTATACTGATACTATGTTTAGTAGCATTCCAGAACATTTGAGCAACCCAAGAACATACAAAATATTTCAAAAACACTATATTTTCTGTATTGAAATGAACGTTGGAGTAAAGTACTCCTCGAATACGTTGCGTCTTCTCTCTTGTTGTTCAGGTCGTTGTATAATTCTAGCTTAAGGATTACAGAATGGCTTAGGAAACGAATACAGTGTTCAATTTGCAAAACTTATCGTAATGAATATATAGTGTCATTCACTTTTATTGTATTGTTTATTTGAATCTTCTCATTTAATGTTTAAGACTTCAATGAACCAGTCTCTTATTGGACTATATGTTTATCCTGTGCAGATTTCATCGATATTGTCATTACATCACAAATATTATAAGCGGAGATGGATGGTGGCTAGTAGTAGATTTAATGATTCATGTTTCATCCTATTTGAAACTCGTCATCTGGATATATATGCATCTCAAATTTAATGTTCATTCTTAGACTCAAACCTAATACATTTCGTTTCTAACGCCATCACGTTATCCATTTAGCTATTGAATTCTGATAGTTATTTACTTATGAAATGAGATGAAGTTTAAATTCACTTTATATTGTTTGTTTTCTATCATTTCATTGATATTAACAACTACAAATGATCAGTTCTATTGTATAACAAAATTAAATGATCTATCTGAATGATTAAAGAAAATGATGAACAGGGCGGCCTGGTTGAGCATCTGGGCTACCTGTTCCTGCCATCTAGATATTTCAACAAGTTATCTATTGTTGTTTGTTTTAATATATCATTATGTTTATTAATCGCATAACCTATTCTGCTGCGTTTCTGAAAAGTGTAGAACCTTTCGTTGTCAAAGTTACAGAAAACTCAATAAGAGACAATATGGTTGCTGGCAATGTACAACGAAAAGAATGTAGATTATTCAGTTGTTCATTCACTGAAGTGCTAACATCTAACTGGCGATTCCTCAATATTTATCGCCAGGACCGACCAAGAAGAAAGAAACGGAAACTTGTTGAAATACTTTGCGCTGAGAATTCTATATTGTACCAAAAATATTTTATTGAATAAAGCTAATAATAATAATAATAATAATCCATCTTTAGATATAAATTGATAGTCGTTAATGAAAAGATTAATGAAAAAGGGATAGTTTCTAGATGTTTCATTTTAATTTTCAACTTATTAATAATATAGATCGAAGAATGTCAGATTCTATAAAGAAGTTGTTCATTCAGAGGATTGTTGTTAAATGAAATCTTTTTTTTTTAAATGTCTGAAATCAATGAACTATGACCGGTTTGTACTAAATGGGTCAATATTAGGCTGTTCATTTTCTTCATCAAACTTTTGTTTAGCCACGCTGGAAGGTATACACGTACACGAAAATGTAAATTCCTAGAACTTCGACCAATATAACTCGCTCCACAGGAGCAGTCGAACTGATATATACAAAATGAGATGGTTATTCTAGGTAATTCATCTTTTAGCCTCGGTGTAACCATTGGGCGCGTAGAAAATACTAATCGCAGTTCTCCAGCGTTAAAAGATTTTCGTATTGTCCCTGAGTTAATATTTCACTAGCCGCATCCCCTCTGAGTTGCAGACGCATGAGCAGGGATTTCTTCTTCACTATTTGTATTTCGCCTATTTTCTCCTTCGTGATCCTATAGTTAGTTATAAACTTTCTAGGATAGCCGTTCTCCCTTAGAGTATTATGCAAGGAGGTCAGTCTATTTTTTTCTCTTTCCAAATTTATTTCACTGTATTATACTCCGTAAATAATATCTTCAAACCTTAATCTTTCCGATTACTGCTTATACTCTTAATACCTCTACCACTACGGGATATGAATCGACAACTGTATCCCTATGCTAATATGGTGTGGCAACTCGAACTGATGTACTTACGTACGAAGTTCTACGTTGTTACTGACTGACTGACTGATAGTGATTTGCTTAATACTTTTATATAATCAAAAATAAAGAATATTTGAGTGAGAAACTGTTTTCAATAACTTCATCATCAGGTTCTACGGTTATATATCCATAATGATGATATTTGTACAAAGGCTAAAGTAAAGCATGTATGAATAAATTTGACAGATTTTCTATGTTAAAAATGATGAACATTTGCATCTGTTGCAATATATATACTCGCAAATTGTGATATTTGTAAATTAGGAAGGTCACTTAATAAAGGTCAGAATGATTGGGAGTAAAGTGTCCAGTCACAATCAGTAGAATAGTAACATAACAAAGATGAAAATGCAAAACAATTGTGTGAATAAAATGTTTGTAGGAGAATTTCATCGTGTCAATTGAGATAATAATAATAATATTTGATTGAGATCATGAACCGATTGATGTTAGACCACCACTGAAAACCTGGAAGCGCTGGACGACCGTTTCGTCCTATTGTGGGATTCCTCAGCAGTGTACATCCACGATCCCGCTCGCGGTATAGGATGACGACCAGTATTCTCCGACCCACTCAGTCCTGGGCCATCCTTTCTACTTCTATCCATATGTTGTTCATTCTTCTCTTGTCTGTCTCCATTTCTCCGCGTAATGTGTTCTTTGGTCTTCCTCTTTTCCTTTAGCCTTGAGGATTTTATATGTGGGCTTGCCTTGTGGCGCAGTTGGGTGCTTTCCCCAAGGTATGCACTATCCACTTCCACCGCTTCTTTCTCCACTGTGATCTGGTTTGTTCTCTCCCATAGCAGGTCGCTGCTGATAGTGTCTGGCCAATGGATCCGAAGTATTTTGCATAGACAACTGTTACTAAACACTTGTATCTTCTGGATTATTGCTGTCGTAGTTCTCCAAGTTTCCACCCCATACAGTAGGACTGTTTTGACATTTGTATTGGAAATTCTGACTTTGATTTTGGTTGATAGACAGTTGTTTTGAGTTCCAGATGTTGTTCAGTTGTGGATATGCTGCTCTTGCTTTGCCGATCCATCACATCTGCAACAGATCCAGCGTGTTCATCAATGATGCAACCTAGATATGTCAATGTTTTTACATCTTCCAAGACTTCTCCGTCAAGTGTGATTTGATTGGTACATATTGTGTTGTATCAGCTTATTTTGCTTTTCCGTATGTGCATGTTTAGATCTACTGCTGCTGAGGCTGCTGCTACACTAATCGTCTTTTCCTGCATTTGTTGTTGCGTGTACGATAGAAGAGCCAGATCGTACACGTAAGTTTAGATAGGAATCGCTAATTAAGTCTCAAATTTTCTTCTGAATATAACACTAGATTTGTACATATCAACAAAGACCATTAATTTCCGAAAAAATTAATTAATTTAATTATCATTACAAGTTATGATTCTGTAGATATGTAAGCTTGTAAAAACATTTCACCCATCACATAATGAACAATCAATAAATTTAAGGTATTTCTACAAAAAAACCCAGAAAATTTCTGTCAAAGGAAAATTTATAGACCTGTAAAGATGAAGGCGTTTATGTACAATCGAAAGTCTTCGTTTATACATATGCATGCGATTTCGTGGAATGATTAAGGTTATACATTAACACCATGGGATGTCGGTCAGTTCAGTGTTCTATGGGTTAAGCGTTCGCCCGCCATACTGAGGGTCCTGAGTTCGAATCCCGCGGGTGGGATCGTGAATGCGCACAACTGAGGAGTCCCGCAATAGGACGGAACGGTCGTTCATTACTTCCATGTTTTAAATCGGTTCATGATCCCAATAAAAAAACCTTATAATCTCCACAACACTGTACTGATATATATATATATATATATATTGGTGATAGTCATGATGCATAGGAACATGATTTCTTCCTCGCAGACATATTATGGTTTTCAGTAATAAAGTCTGTAAAAGGTTATGAAATGCTTTTTCAGTATAATGTAGGCATTAAAACAATATGCATAATGTATTATATAATAATATAAATATAATTTACATACCAGAAGTAGTTGTCATTTCAGTTGTTGTTGGGGGAGGTGTTGTAGTAGGTGGTGGTGAAGTAGTTGCTGGTTTAACTATAAATATGATGAAAAAAGAATAAAAATAAATTATTCGATGAAATAGATTAGAATTTATGAAAATTAACATAGTAGATTCAATTCTTAAATATCTATGATCTATTGACTTATAGTGAAGTTTTAAACATATAATAGATCTGATTGAAATCATGAGTCGATTGAAGCTAGACCATCATGGAAAACCTGGAAGCAGTGGACGGCCGTTTCGTCCTAGTATGGGACTCCTCAGCAGTGCGCATCCACGATCCTGCACCCCGCTGGATTGGAACCTAGAACCTATCAGTTTTACGCCAGGCGCGAGCTTCAATTGACTCATGATTTCAGTCAGTGAAATTTCTAAAATCTCCACAAAACCCCTTCTGATATAATAGATCTGTTCATTAAATTTACTGTCATGTTACATGACTAAATTGAATGTATACTTGAATGATTGCGTATATTCTCATAAGTTTGCTTCTCTACAATTCATCATCTTCGTCGGGTATTTTTATTGTGAATTATCAGTTTTTCTTCAATTTAAAAGTTAAATCAACACATAATAGGAGATTGAAGCAGATTGTAATCATAAATTTACATCAAAGTTAGGATAAGAGAACTATATGGAAGCTGTTTCGTCGTAGAATGGGACACCTCAAAAGTGTGCATATCAAGAATTTAGTCGGAATTCAAACCTAGGACCTTCTTGCCTCAGTAGACACAGTGCAGTATGTTATCGGGAAGTGACCTCCTTTCTTTTGACACAATATGTTAGTGAACTCAATTGATTTTTATGGTTGAATTGATTAGATATGCGATGTACTGTGTCTATATAACAGTTTATGAAATATTTGTTTCTAATGAAGTTGGGTTCTTATCACGGTTCTATCATTACATTATCGACCATTTTTAGGTCGTATATAATTGTAGGTTCAAGTTTAATTGAAAAGATACAGATAGGGGACTTGAAAATATAATTAAACAAAGGGTAAATTCACTTGGTGTTGTTTCACTTTCATCTTCCCATTGTTATTTAGGACTGCAATTGATCAGTCTCATGTTAGCATATGTGCATCCTGTGTGTATTACCTCGACGTAGCCTTAAGTCACCATCCGTTTAAGCTGACGAGTTCCAAATAGGAAGAGACGCGGGTTCTGGATTCCACTACTAGTCACTATCCATCTTTGCTTAAACTAAAGGTATTTTGTCACTCACTCGTGATATGATAAACTTAATAAAAAATAACAATGATTAGTAGATATTACCTTAATGTTGAATGTCAAACATGATTGCTTATACTCAATGATCACAATTATTGCTTAATTATTGAGTAATATGCACATAACTGTTAGGGATGCTGAGGAATATACCAATCATTATCATGTTAAATCTAATGAGGTCCTTGGACCTTAAATGGACATTCCCTATTGGCCGTTATTTATTTCACTCGTTAAATATTGTACAGATGTTGTTTTCTATTTTTATGGTACGATGTGGTCTGTTTGGTTGGTATATAAACAGAGTATGTTTGAAATATAATGATTCATAACTCAGAGGCTCGGACTTGTGTTCTGGACTCGACTGGCTGGGCTAGACAGAGGAGCGGGACCAGTCGGGACTCTAGGTCGTCCTTAGGTATTTTACGTGTCATTGAGTCGATCGATAAATACGCTGCGCATCTAACCTGCAGTCCACCCGTTACAACAATAACATCCAGTTGTTTGAGCTTAGTGAGTTAATAAATCTAGTGTTCATTCTTCAATAATAAAGTTGAATTTAGATATTTGTTGTTTTGCAATGAAACAATTTGAACTTATAAGTTATCTGTTATACAATAGTGTTTCTTTAAACATGTATGGGGCAATAAAATGATATTGACATGAGCACATCAATAAGAATTTTTTTGATTGAGATGTTGAATCGATTGGTGTTAGACCACCATTCAGAACCTGGAATCACTGGATGGCCGTTTCGTGCTAGTATAGGACTCTTCACCAAAGAGCATCCATGATTCTGCATACGGAATTCGAACCCAGGACTTTTGGTCTCACGGGCAAACGCTTAACCTCTAGACCACTGAGCCGGCCGGCGTTCAACGGTGTTAATGTTCAACTTCAATCAATCCACGAAATTGCGTGACCATCTTCAATTGTCTGAGGTAGATACTTGATATGGATTAGCTCCACTGGTCACGGTTTCTCTTTAGAACTCCGAGAATCCCACGAGCAGGATCGTCAATAATGCACTGTTAAAGAGTCCCATACTAGGACGAAACGCCCATCCAGTGCTTCCAGGTTTTCAGTGGTGCTCTAAAATCAATCGTTTTATAATCTCAATCAAAAACTTAACTATCTCCACAACCGAATACTGATAAGAAATAATTATTGTATAGACTTCTTCAACGAATATTAGGTTTCCTTTCAACATATCTTCAGTAAATTTCCAACTTATTCAATAATGGGTAATTGAACTAATGGAAGTTAAGTTTGTTGTGTACGTCATGAATGTTTTTTTCCTTCCATTGTTGATAATTTACTTCATAGTTGATTGATTATGATCTGGCAGTTTAACAAATCTTAAACTTCTGTCACATTTTGTCTTTAAAGATACGTTTTTCTTTGTTTTTAAAGTTTTAAGAAATCTATTCTTAAGTCCTTTAAAAGGTATTCTTATTCAAATATAAGCGTTTCAAGAAACGATCACCTGGTGCGAGACTGATAGGTCCTGGGTTCGAATCTCGCGAGGCGGGGTTGTGGATACACACTGCTGGGGAGTCCCACAATAAAACGAAACGGCCTTGCAGTGCTTCCAGGTTTTCCATGATGGTCTAGCTTCAATTGACTTATGGTTTCAACTGTTGAGTTAACAATAAATTTATATTTAATTATGTGAAACTCTCTGTGTTTTGATGATTGTTGTCTTTGAAAGATTGTTGAGATACAATGACAACACTATGTTAGTAATACAGAGGTACAGTAATGTGTGTTCTAGCACAATGATTATAATTTAATTGATGGGACTATCTTAAAATATCAACTTTGGTAGCTTGTACATGTTCTATGAATGTCATCTCACAGAATTTTACGTGGCGTATTATTTGTCAACACTGAGATTGGTTGAAAAAAATTGGAGAGGTGATCAGTTCATATTACGATGTGGTTCACTTTATTAACTTGACATCAAATAGAAGAATGATTTCATTAGGATAATATGAAGTCATTTTATTTCTTTGTATAATTCTCATCATATTACTGTTTATACATCTTCAACATTACGTATGTTCATGTACTGTGGTATAAATTTCAAAGAATGAATCAGTTGAATGTGACACATTTTCGACGTAACATATGATACAGTGTATATCAAGGATCTTAAGAAATTGTTTAATTAAATAAGCATTATGGAGACCATACACAAAAAGTATTGATGATACTTTGTCTATGAAATCTTTGTAAATCAACAATCAATGGATTCTTTGAAATGTTTGTTACGTTTAATTTCAAATGTACAATGTATCTACTAATTATATGGGAAAGAATGATACTGGGTTCGAGTTCCGAATTGAACATCAAATCTAAGATGCAGGTACATCCATTTGACGAGTCCTAAATATGACAAAATACACATTCTAGATTCCACTGTTAGCTATCATCTATCTTTACTTGTGACTTCAATCAATATCGAAACAATCCCTACAGTATACACATTAATGAGAAGATCTAATCAAACAATACCAAGTAAATTTGAACTATGGACATTATTATATAAACATACCATAAATATACATTTCGAACTATTGGACAAAACAACAACAACAACAAAAAAGAAGACACATGTGTGTATCATTCACAAATCGTTAATCATACAATTACTTACCAATCACTTGTACTGATTTACGTATATGACCATTTAAATTCTCTGCTAAACATGTATAATTAGCATTGTCAGTGGTATGTACATTACTCAATTGAAGTTTCGATAGATATCTGACGGTTTGTTTGTTTGTTTGTTTGTTTGTTTTTTAAAAAGAAAGAAAAAAAAGAGCGAGGTTTAAAACAAATAAAACGGTAAAATAGTTAAAATAGATAATATCTCTTATGAACTAGGTATCATAAACGAACAGTTTACATGTGTATGCATCTACCCCACCCTCCACACACACATACACACTGAGAGAGAGAGAGAGTGAGAGAGATAAATACAAAAAGAAAATGATGTGAAAGATAGAAGAAACGAAAGAAAAAAAGAGAAAAGAAAATTACAAATGAAACGTCAGAATCTCAACGACAACAACAACAACAACAAAAACGACGAAAAAACGAACACATATAACAGACATAGTTAAATTTTATATAAATAAGGGAATATGCCTATTAATAATATAGGCATATACATATATATATATGTATGTACTAGGAATACATTCTATTGTTATAGGCATATCAAGCTAAGAGATAAAAGCTTACCATCTAGGGTAATACAACAAATTTGTACAGTCATAATCAGTATATACATGAAATTTATGGAAAAAAAAACTGTACAAAATATGTACGCAAAATCGGAGTATACAATATATAGGACAAAAGCTTATGCATAACTATTACAAGTATTAAAGGGTAATAATAATGATAATAATAATAGACAGGTGCTTTGATAATTTGTAAGCAAATGTTTCCATTGATTGTAGAAAGAAAGTTGTTGTTTTTTTTCTCCTTAAAGTATTGCATTTAATGAAATGATCAAAACAGATTACTAGTTTAAAGATGATGAAATAAACTATTTTATGATTAGAAAGATGGGGAAAGGGGTTTACTCAGTCAATAACAATGTAGAACTTCGTACGTACGTACATCAGTTCTAGTTGACATACCACAATAGCACAGAGATTCAGTTGTCGATTCAAATGCCATCGTGGTAGAGGTAGTAAGAGTATAGACAGTAATCGGAAAAATTAAGGTTTGAAGATGTTATTCAAGGAGTATAATCTAGTGAAATAAATTTGGGAACATGAAGAATTAGGAAGATTAGAAAGAGGGGGGGGGTTGTGAAGAGCGTAGTAATTGTTAATAATTGAATGGATGCGTTGATTAAGTCTAGGCAATCACAAAAAACTTGAAAGGATTAGATTATCGTTTTGTCTTAGTATGGGGACCTTTGAGCAGTGAGCATCTACTTTCTGATTATAATCATCATGTGCTTACTAGTAATTGTCTTCGAAAGGTATTTCCTGGAGTTCTAGTGAGAAGACGTAACTAGTAAAGTTCAAACGGGTCTGTTGTAAGGCAGTGATTTACTGAAGACAATGGTGAACGGTGGCGAAATTTCGTGGATTGGTTGAAGTTAAATATTAAAAACCGTTGTAGAGGTTAAGTGTTCGCGCACGAGACAAAAAATGGATGAAAATAATTTTTTTAAAGATTAGTTACATAACGTAGAATCATTGTCCAGTAGAGAGTTAATATAACATTAAAAATTAAGGCAACCAAAGATTTTCATTTCTATGAACTTTTAGAGATCTTTTGGATAAGATCAGTTTGTAATATGGTGAAACATGATGCAGGGTCTTAAACTAAACCAGTCACGATGTGACACTGTAACTCTGAAGATCTACCTTGAAACTATTCACCAAAACTCAAAGAACCCTGAATCACTCAAGTATATTGTGTGGATTATTTGAGATTACAAAACGGACAAAATTGGAATGGTGGTAAATATTTATAATCTAGATTGAAGTTGTCGGAAGTATCATGGTCTTCAACATCAAATTACTCACACACTTATGCCTGTTACTCCTCGTGGGTCACAGACTTTCAAAAAACTTTATTCTAATCTCTCCTTTAAAGTTGTTGCCAAGTGCTGTACATTCTTTAGATATCTAACTACAATGCCCAGTGCAACATGTTTTTTAATTTACTTGTTTTACTTTTGCCTTCACTGTTCTAAGTTAGGAGTTTTCCCGAGATGCCGTTTGATAATTTTTGTAATGAATACCATATCCATCTCCAATACCGTTTTCTGATTTCCCCTTCGACTGGAAGTTGGTATTTTCTCTCCTATAATAAGTTGTTGCTGATGGTAACCAACCAACGAAAACTTAGCATCTTGCGTTGACAACAGTTTATAAATACTTGTACATTTTTGATGATGGTTATGGTAGTCCTGCAAGTTTCAGCTCTATACACCAGGATTATCTTACTTTTTTCCCTTGTGTATGTTGATGTCTACTGCTTCAGAGGCTACAATAATTGAGATAATTTTGATCGGTACAAATACTTATGACTTATATTTAACTTTAGTAATCGTTTTTTTTAACATAACCAAATCAACTCTTCTATTGCCTTTAGATACAAATATTTTATTCAAGGAATATCAAAGAATTTAGGCAAATCAAACTTCTATTTCATCGATTTGGAATCTCTAGCATGATACCCAGGATTAATGTTCTTTATCAGTTTGACACACACTGAGGAGAGCACCAAACTGCGTCACATGGCAAGCCCTCACATGGAATCCTCAAGGCTAAAGGAAAAGAGGAAGACCAAAGAACACATTACGCCGAGAAATGGAGACAGACATGAGAAGAATGAACAACAAATGCATAGAAGTAGAAAGGATGGCCCAGAACTGAGTGGGTTGGAGAATGCTGGTCGTCGTCCGATGCTCCATTAGGAGTAACAGGCGTAAGTAAGTAAGTAAGTAACCGATTGGACTACACTATTAAATTGTTTAGCTTAGTTATCCAAAACTAGATCAATATAATATGATTAATTTACAAATACAAATGATAAAAAGTATTCTGTACTTATAAGCAAAGATGGATAGTGGCTAGTAGTGGGATTCAGTTTGACGCGTGTTTCGTCCTATTTGGGGCTCGTCAACTGGATGTGCTTGCATCATAGAGTTATTTCAACAAGTTATCTGTTTTCTTGTTTGTTTGTTTGTTTTAACACGTCATTATGTCTACTAATCACACAACCTATTCAGGTGAGTTTCTGAAACGTTCACGACATTTCGCTGTACAAGTTACAAAACAGACCAATCAGTGACATCGTAGTTGCTTGCAATATGCATCAAAAAGAATGAACATAATTCAGATGTCAACTGACTGAACTGCTAACATCTAACTGGTGATCACTCAATACTTATCGTCAGGATAGATGAAGAAATAAGGAGAGGAAACTTGATGAAATACTTTGTGCTGAGAATTCTATATTGTACCAAAAATATAATATTGAATAAAGCTGATAATACTAAGTACAAATATATGATCTCTCAGTGGATCGAATGCAGTAAGTTCAGGTCTAATGATGAGGGCTTAACATTAGAACTACTAGTCTGCTAACTTTTATTGTTACACAATATTGTAAAACCATCTTTCATTGTCATTGGTAGGCAGCTGTCTTACAATGATTATGGATGAACCTTTTATCTTACGGTTTCTTACTTGAACTCTTGAAATTCTAACAACCAAATAACTGTTTACAGATTCTTTGTTTTTAATTGTTATCTGTTTCATATCAATCCATGATGGAGACCTAAAGTTCATCAATCTCCACAAACCCCCTTTATAAAGATATAACTTATTTATTGTATTAAAATTAAAATCTTTTAATCTGAAAATCTGCATAGAGGACAGCTGACAGACGCATTCCAAGTAAGGACCGGAATCAGACAAGACAATCTACTCTCTCCCTTCATCTTTCTTCTGGTGGTCGACTGGATTATGAAGACCTCGACATCTGAGGAAAAACACGGAATACAATGAACAGCTCAGAACCAAATAAATGATTTGGACTTCGCAGATGATCTAGCCCTCCTATCGCATACACACGAACAAATGCAGATAAAGACAGCCAGAGTAGCATTAGTTTTTGCATCAGTACGCCTCAACATACACAAGGGGAAAACCAAGGTCCTCAGATTCAAAACGGAAGACAGCAGTCTAATCACTCTTGATGGTAAAACTGTGGAAGACGTAGAATCCTTCACATACCTGGGAAGCATCGTCGGTGAACAAGGAGGTTCACATACAGACGTAAATTCGAGGATTGGTAAAACAAGGACAGCATTCCTATTATTGAACAACATATACAACTCAAAACAACCGTCTATCAACCAATATCAAAGTCACAATCTTCAATACGAACGTCAAAATAGTCAGTTCTATCGTACGGAGCTGAAACTTGGAGAACTAATATAATCATAATCAAGAAGGTACAAGTATTTATAAATAGCTGTCTACGAAAGATCCTCAATATCCATTGGCCGGATACCATCAGCAACAGCCTTCTGTGGGAGAAAACAAACTAACTTCCAGCTGAGGAGGAAATTAGGAAAAGACGATGGAAATGGATAGGACATACATTACGCAAATCGTCAAACTGCATCACGAGACAAGCCCCAACTTGGAATCCTGAAGGGAAGCGGAAAAGAGGAAGGCCAAAGAACACATTACATCGAGAAATAGAAATAGATATGAAAAGGATGAATAACAACTGGAAGGAGCTAGAAAGGATTGCTCATGACAGCTTTGGATGGAGAATACTGGTGAGCGGTCTATGCTCCTTCACGAGGAGTAACAGGCGTAAGTAAGAAGTAAGTAAATCTGAAAATCAATGTTTATCAGCTGTTAATTGAGATATTGAAATCCTTTAGTGAATCATTACTACTTCAGTTATGTATTATCGGAATGACTGTACAGTCGACAAATTATTACCTGATGTAGTTAGATATTATAATGAATGATCAACATTTTAATGATAGGACCTCATAGTAATGGTTATTTAAATAAAACATTTCATTTGACTATATTACTTTAGTAATATCAGTATACTACATTACTAATTATGACTACTATAATGAACAATATGGATTGTTCTATGTTGTTCTAATAAAAACTAGAATGATTAGGCGTAGGCTTTAAATAATTAGCTTCTTGAAAAAAAATAAAGTATGTTTCATGAATAAATAGTTTGTCAGGAATTCAAAAGTTGAATGTATACAGTCGTGACCTTGAAAGTCACTTCAAGATTTCAAATCTGGAACGAATTGAAAGAAAAGGTAGGAAGGAAGTTTTCATTCAAGACTATATATATATATATATATATATATATATAACAACTGGAACTGAATGAATGGGATTCTATTGAGATCTATAGAATGTTATTTCATATTCGTGTTAACGTCCAATCATATATCTGTATGCTTGATAACATGACGAAAATAGACGCTTCTATAGATTTCGAATGGTGATGAAGAAGTTATGAATTATTCAGGCGATATTCATATATATATGATGATACATATCTGTTAGATTCATTTTTAGTCTAAAACGCTTAGTGTAAATTCCATTTTATATTGTGAGATTATTATTACTATTGTTAGTGACGATACTCAATGGTCTATGTTTGATATAATGAAAAATTCTCAGCACAAAGTATTTCAGCAAGTTTCCCCATTTCTTATTTCTTGGTCGATCCTGACAATAAATATGGAATGATTACCAGTTAAATGTTAGTAGTTCAGTCAGTTGTCATGTGAATAATGTTCATTCTTTTCGACGTATATTGTCAGTAACCACGATGTCACTGATTAGTTTGTTTTGTAACTTGTACAGTGAAATATCGTAAACTTTTGATCGTAAACTCACTTGAATCGATTATGCAATTAATAGACATAATGATATGTTACAACAAACAAACAAACAAAGAAGAAAACAATTAACATGTTGGAAGATCCAAATGACTTTATCATTGAATCTATCGGAAGAAACATGAACAATGTGTATTCACACTTGAATATGGAATTGGATCTAATGATTTTAAATTTCTGTTTATATCATGATAGATTATTTGTCAAGATTTTAGATAAAACAATCTTAATTAGTTCATTATCATGATTATTCTTAATGGATTAATACAAGGTTTATACAATGTACGAATCTGAGTAAAAATTTCTAAAGTCTGTATATATTAGTAGTAAAGATTTATATTATGGTGTATACTACTGATGTCGACAGATATAAGTAGAATATATCATCAATCGATAGTGAAATACCTGGCAGCAGAAGATTAAGAAGATCAAGGTAAAGAGAACAACAACAAAGGGATGATTGATGTAGAAACTAAAGTACAATGAAGTCTGAGAAGATTGATTGACATTTTGTAAATGTAGCATTTATTGTATGGTTCTTAGATTTTGCTAAGACATTCTGTTATTTCGTATTCAAATACATTCAATTATCCCTACTCATATTCTCGTTCACTACAATACTATCCGACAGTACCAACTCACAACTGCGTATAGAATCAAATGCTTAATACTTAGATATCTCTTACTACGGCCGGCATCTAACGGTGTTAATGTCTAACTTCAACCAATCCACGAAGTTGCGCCACCATACACCATTGTCTTCAGTGAGTTGGTATCTCACAACAGACTTGGTTAAACTCCATTGGTAACAACTCACTAGAATTCCAGGAGTATTGCCTGAAGTCAGTCACTAGTGAGTAGGTGAAATTTCTAAAAACTTTCACAAAACCCATTCTGATAATAATATCATTATTGTCCTAATAATCTCAAATTAAATTAAATCTATTATCAATTACAACTTAGATAATTATTTGAATTTAGTTTCTATGTGAACTACAACAGTAATTCATTGTAATTCTGGTGAATAGTACTGACACCTATATCTATGTATATTTATATACAGAGAGAGAGGGGGGAGGGGGAGGGAGAGAGAGAGAGAAAGAGAGGTGTATATACATTCCACAAATAATTACATTTTTATATTTTCATTCATTTCTTTCAATACAAATCAAATTTCAACTATCATCAACATCAACATTTATGATATACAAGTATTTTTTTTTAATATTCAATTCTTCAATAGAATTATAAATAATAATAAACAATATATGTTCATATACCGAATATGATTTGTTGAAAGGTTAGGAAAGCATATCAAAACTACTTATTATTATTACTATTATTAATATCATTCTCCTTATTCATTCATCTTACAGATTGTACTATAGTTACAATGAAAAGAGTCTTAGATACTGATGTAAAATTAAAACAAAAAACAAAAAAAGAAAAATTGTTCATCAAAAGAATGAATGTAAGTGTATAAGTTTATGTATGCAAAAACCCATTACCTGTGTGTGTGTGTGTGTGTGTGTGTGTGTGTGTGTGTGTGCGTGTGTGTGTGTGTGTGTGCATGTCAGAGTACATGATGAAATGATGATAGTATAGTATAGTATTAAAAGTAAATTAAAACTCTTTTTATGAATGTCAAATTTTGATACAACCTATAAACTAAACTATATTCTATACATCTATCATTAGTAGTATTATGATTATTAGTTTAAAAAGAAGAAAAAAAAACAACAATGTGTGTATATCACTTAGAAAGGTCAATCTGTCGAACTCGGTTACTTGTTAGATTCAATAATAAATTAATTTCTAAAAACAAGAGGGGGGGACGGTAAACATATATATATATATATATATATATATATATATATATATATATATATATATATATATATATATATATATATATATATATATATATATATATATCAAAGTATATATACATAAATAGTGAATTACCATTAACGGAATAACTGTAGTTATAAGGATATAAATGTAAACAGTTATTTATGTAGGCCTATATATATATATATATCCACGTATGTTTGTATATGTAGTTCAGTAGGTTTGTATCTTGGTATCTTGGATAAAAGGAGGTTAGTATTCGTTAGAATTCGGTACATTCATTCATCCATTAATTAATTAATTATGTAATTCTAATGAAAATTTTCATACTGATTATATAAATATGAAGTTAATTCCTATTTTAGGTAGTTCATTGAATTATTATTCTTTGAGACTGATAAATAGTATCTATTTATTAGTCAATATTATGTTTATTTATTCCATTATAATTTCAATGATTGAATTCGTGGGTCCATTGAATCTAGACCACTATGGAAAACCTGGAAGCATTAGATTTCTGTTTCATCCTAGTATATGGCTCAGCATCAGTTCTCATTCATGATCCCACCTCGCGAGATCAAAACCCAGGACTTATTGGCCTTACGCCTGAATACTTGTAAATATCATTCCATTGTCTCAGATTTCATTGTTCATGCATTTTCATACCAATTACGTTCCGCTCCGTTCCCGTTCTTTCCTTATCAATCTTCTGTTGAAATACATTCTGTGCCTGATCACTGTTATAAACTACTTATATAGATATAAGTTACCCACACCACAAAGATAAGTAATATTGAATTGTTTGGGTTGTCTAAAATGTATACTTTGATGAGATACTAAGGTTTTCACAAAAATCCATTATCAGGTTCTAGCAAAGCTCTATATTATTACGGGTATTTACAGTATAACATCTATATTAGTTTTTCAAGTACCATTTATAATTAAGTTATTAGTTTATTTTTAAGTCATTAAAGCTGATTTTCAATGTCATATCTACTTTCTCATCTAACTGTTTTGTTGTTGGTTGTTTTCAATCTATTTAATAAAGTGGGATTATCAATCGAATTCGGGTTATCATACGTCATCCAGATAGTTGAACTTACAACGTTGTACATGCAGGTAAAAAAAAGCCATAAACCCGTTATTTATAAGAAATCATTTTGCAGGTCCCTGGTTCGAATCTCACGAAGCGGGATCGTGGGTGCACACTGCTGCGAAGTCCCACAATAGGATGAAACGTCCTTCCAGTGCTTCCAGGTATTCCATGGTGGACTGGCCTCAATTAACTCATGATCTTAACTATTGAAATTACTATAATATCCACACAAAAATCCTTCTGATATTAATCAACATATGCTGGATTCAAGAGGTATTTTCTGGAGTTCCAATAAGAATCAGTAACCAGTGGAGTTAAACTGGGTCTGCTGTGAGATAGTAACTCAGTGAAGACAACGGTGGACGGTCACGCAATTCCATGGATTGGTTGAAGTTAGATATTAATACTGTTGGGTTCTGGCCGGCTCAGTGATCTAGAGGTTAAGAATTCTAATGCGAGACCGATATGTCCTGGGTTCGAATCTTGTGAGGTGGGATCGTGGATGCGCACTGCTGATGATCTGTCTTCTAATAACTCATGATCTCAACCATTGATTTTACAGATTTGTTTGAAATAATCAAGCAACTGCAACAGTGTTTGTATTAAGTAAAAAAACAAATGCTTTTTTTAATTATAACAAACATACCGTGATTTTTGAATTATTCCACGTCCTGTTTCTAATCTCCATGGATTTTTAATTTCTGTTTGATTAATATACCATGAAATTAATGGTGTAGGTCGACCACGTACACGACATGATAATAATAAATCATTTCCTTCATTAACCTTTAATACATCTTCATGATACAATGAACGCATTTGAAGGGGATCAGCTATAAAATATAATGAATAGGGGTTTAATTAAATCGTAAACAAGTGAATAATATGAATGAAATAAATGTTTAATAGAATTTTCTAATCTTCAGTGTATTAAATCATAGAATAGTCAAGATATTACAAATGGCTCAGTTTACTTATATTGTATATAGAGAATTGTATCTTTATTAGTATAGTTTCCTTTTTGGCATTTTAGATGTAATAGGGGAACATTGGTCGCATCCTGATACATGTAAACTAAGTGGGATATCTTTCCATTACTCACCATTCTAACTGTGTATTTTCTCCGAACTAGACTAACAAATGATTATGGAAATGTGAAAGGGTAATTCTGACAATATAACAAATTCTAAAAAAGAATTTTGACTGAAAAATGTCTAAAGGAAGCATGTATTACTGATTCTTGAGTTCTAAGTCACGGTTTCATTAAAACAATCTTAGAAATGTCACTCGTTTGGGATAAAATATTAAATAGAATTATAAGCAACGATGAATTGTGGCTAACAGTGGAATACAGGATGTGTGTTTCACCCTATTTTGGACTTGTCTGTTGGATAACACTGTAGTGTTTGAAGCGAACAGTACTGAGTTCAAGTCCCGAAATGAACATCACTCTGGAATTCAGGTACATCCAGCTAACGAGTTGCAAATACGACGAAACATGCGTCAAACTGAACTCCGCTGCTAACCACAATCCATCTTTACTTATAATGCTTATGAATTGAGGCAATATCGAGGCAATCCTCACAGTATGTACATATGCTAATAATAAGAGACTGATCAACTGCAGTCTTAGACATCAATCGGATGATACAAGCAAATAATACCAAGTGAATTCAATAGAATTCTTTGAATAGTGTACAAGTTGAAGGTGTAAAATATATTTTTTAAACAAATTTTCTGAGCTACATTTCACTATGAGAGTATTCCAAATAACATTCAATTAGTCTTTAACCGTAATCACAGAGGATATAACCATTATCATATAATTATATCTATTTATCAAGGTTCTTTTGTATTAAAGAGAAGTGAAATAGAGAAAGTGTTCCTGCTAATGTATATTATCACCATTATTGTTATGCATTTCTCTTTGAAAAAATCAATACGCTCCATATGAATGTAGAAACTTCAACAACAAAAAAATTATTATCCTTACACACCTTCTAATACATATTCAACTAATGACTGATACATAATTCATCATACTTTATGGTTTCTTTCTTTCATTTGTAAGTTGATAATTGATTAATGTAAAATTACACAGATTGAAATCATGAGTCAATTGAAGCTAGACCACCATGGAAAACCTGGAAGCACTGGACGGCCCTTTTTGTCCTAGTATGGCACTCCTCATTAGTGAACATCCACAATCCCGCACCCCACGAGATTCGAACCCAGGGCCTTCAGTCTCGCGCCAGGCACTTAACCAACTCGACCACTGAGTTGGCATCCATTGTTGTTAATGTCTACCTTCAACCAATCCATTGTACTGAGGTAGACACTTGTTTCTACCCGACACGGATTAGCTCCACTGGTGACGACTTCTTATATATGCTCACTAGTGACTAGTTTCGTGAGAAAATTCTCGGAGTTCTGGTGAGAAGCTGTGACCAGTGGAGTTATTTTATCTAATTTATAGACAGTTTAAATTTAAGAAATCTTTTTTATACAAAATATCACGTCATTCTATATAGTCTGTTATTCAAAAAAAAGTCTTTCTAGACATGAAAAACAAATGGGTTTTTTCTAAATAAAAAAAACTTTTTTTCTAATGTAGTTGGTAACTAGAATCGATTAGATTATTAATTAAGGGTATCCTCCCCACAACAACAACAACAACAACATACGAAAATGTGTTTGTCGTAAAAAACAAACAAACAAACAGACAAACAATGAAAGTAACCCATTAAAAGAAAAATGTTTGGCATGACATTATAAACACTGAAACATTGAAAACCGATCATTCATTTGAATCATTTCATTATAATAAATAGATGATCAGTTCGATTACGTAATTCATTTCTACAGTGTGTGTGTGTGTTTTTTTTTTTTACATTTTTATTTATTACGTCATCTCATTTATTTTTTATTTGTATTTTTAATAAGGAAATAAAACTTGATCATTTCAACTGAATACAGTTGAATATCATTGTGATATTTGGTATTACCCAATAGAATCTATGTATTTTGATCTTTCCTGTTGATGAGATCATTATTGTCATTCGAAATGTATCAGTATAAAGATTTGTGGAGATTTTGATATTCTCATCATTGAAGTTAGATATTAATAACATTGAATATGGGCTAAGTGGTCTAGAGATTAAGTGTGCATGCACAAAAACGGAAAGTTTTAGGTTTGAGTTCTTAGTGTGAAATTATGAATGAGTATTATTAAGGAGTTCCACACTAAGATGAGATGGCTGTCTAATCTTTTCAAGTTTTAAATGGTTGTTTTGCTTTGATGGACTTATGAATTTAATTGTGAAAATTAAAATTTATTCTTTTCTGTTTAAGACATATTTCGTTAAATTTATATGGCTTAATTCATTTGAATCTCCCCATTGATATTTAGGACTGCATTTGATCAGTCTCTTATTAACATATGTGCTTACTGTACGGATTGCCTTGATATTGCCTTAGATTCAAATAAACAAAACCAGGCGAATTTAAATTTCACCCCATTGCACAAACAATTAGCTATCAGGATTCAATAGTTAAGTGGATAATGTGATTGTATTTGAAGTGAATGATACTAAGTTCGAGTCCCAGAGTGATTTCCAACTCTGAGATGCAGATACATCCATTTAATGAGTCACAAATATGGCGAAACACACGGCAAACTAAATTCCACTACTAGCCACTATTCATCATATTTCGTTGGTTCCAATAACTTTTCAAAGTGTACAACATCAAACTATTCTACTTTAGTCAATCAATAATTTATAAGTCAAATCTAAAGAACTATTCAGTAATGAATGATGTCAAATATGTCGATAGATAAGATGTAAACGATTTAGAAGTTAATAAAACTATTTTAATCAACTACTGAATCACCTACTTTAAACGTCATTTTCAATAATACATTGTTTAATAGTTTGATATGTAAATGTTGATACTTAACAATGAATAAGAAATTATTCTATTAGATATTCACCTTAATTTAAAAGAGGTATTTGTTTTCAAGGTATGATTAAGTTAAAAACAACTAATTAGTTCATATTTAATATCCGTTTATTTTGTTGTTGTCCTGGTATAGTCGAGAGTAGAGAGAGTCAGCTCACCCCTTCTCAAAATACTCTCACATAGAAACTTGTATACAACCACTGTCAAGGAAGTACTACTCACTACCTTCTAGTGGCGGAGGTGTTGTTTATGGAACTAAGAGAACGAAACTCGAATATCCGGGGCTTTAACCGGGTTAGTGAATACGGAAGATTCATCTAGGGAAGTTGTAAAACTCTGATTTCAAACCAATGATGTACATAGGCTCCAATATCCTGAAGGAAAAAATGGTGTATGAACCTATTGTTGGTGAGCAGTTACCATGAGACTTCATTTCCTTGTTATTCCATTACCTTGTGGACTAGACCTTCAGGTCGAAGACTCTAGATGTGACCCCGTAAGAAAACCACCTACTTCGGTTTAGGCACTGGTTAGTATCATAGCTTGTATGCAAATCAAGTGAGTTTTGTATTGTATATATATTCGGTGCCCCTTTGTACCACTATTAATGTGTTTAAATAAATAAAATTCACCGGGTTAATTATCTAAGTTTCTTTTTATAACCGCAAACCATCATTCATATACAAATGATAATAAGTAAATGAAAATTATTCACTTCAATATTTTTACTATACAGTTTTGTGTTATTATCTTATCATTAACTACAGTTATAGTTAATTATTCAGTTGCTTTCGTTTTATTTAAATGTAAATCTACATTCTTATCTAATAATAATATGTATATCTGTATATCATTACAGATAAAGATGGTTATAACATTACTCATAATAAGTGTATATATACATAGATAGGTAGGTAGGTAGCTAGGTAGGTAGGTAGGTAGGTAGGCAGGCAGGCAGGCAGGCAGGTAGGTAGGTAGGTAGGTAGGTAGGTAGGTAGGTAGGTAGGTAGGTAGGTAGGTAGGTAGTAATACATAAGTATTTGTTCTAGAAAAACCAGACAAAGTTTAATACCAAATTTTAAGATAAACTGAAGAGAAATTTTTCATAGCAAACTATCACATCATTAAGTAATAGTAATTAATTCTATGAATCATAAATTTCAATGGTAATAAAAGAAAGATATTGTCTAACACTTATTACTAATTCAAGATGAAATAGATAAAGAGCATATCTATCTATCTATCTATCCATCTATTCATCTATCTATATAGATATAACTCTCTTTTATCGTTGTTTACAAATAGCAATTATAAACCAAGTCATATATAATTACATCGGTATTTTGGACTATATTTTAATGTTATGTTTGTTTAAGAAAGCAGGAAGACTATAAGAAGAAGAAGTGATAGTAGTACATTAAAAGCCATACAAATATTCCAAAAAGTAGTAATACAAATCTTTAGAAGAAGAAGAAGAAGAAGACTGTTTTCATCTTGGGTTAATATTAGTTTGGACTCCGCATGGAGCCCCTCTGGAGCTACTGCCCATCCTAAGGCCGGATAAAAGAGGAGAGTTGGGTATAGGGTGAGCGACCCCATCCCATAGAAAATTAACTCGTTAAGAAAACGTTAACCAGAAAAGTAAATAAGTAAGTAATACTAGTTTGATTAAGATCATGGACATTGATTAAAAGATTGCAATAGGTTGGAATTCAAACATAATCTCAGTAAGTTTTATTGAGTTCTCAAGTGTTTCCCAATGAATATCAGCCTTTGATGAAATTCAGTTTAAAATTAAAACGAAATAAGTAAACATAAGCAAAGATGGATAGTGGTTGGCATTGGAGTCCAGTTTGACGCGCATTTCGTCCTG